AGGAGCCGTGCCCCGTAACCCATTGGGAGCTGCACCCCGCGCCCCGGCAGGAGCCGTAACCCGTAACCCATCGGGAGCTGCACCCCGGAACCCCCGGCGGGAGCCGTGCCCCGTAACCCATCAGGAGCTGCACCCCATAACCCCCGGCGGGAGCCGCGCCCCGTAACCCCCGGCGGGAGCACCTCGCCAGGCTGCGGCCCGGGGGGGCTGTCAGTGCCTCTTCCCATCTCTTAACACCCCAACACAAAGTGCAAACATTGCCCTGGTCTCCCCCCGCGAGGTCGTACGGCATGCTGGAGCTGAAAAATATTTCGAAGGTTATGTGCTTTACACACCTAGTGACCCCTGCTCACAACGACACCACGTTCTGCATTACCATTTCCAGGTACTTACTTAACAAACTTGTCCACGTGAGACATGGAAGCTTCATAGTTTTTTCCTCCAAATTCTTGACAGTGTAAAGCCATGAAGTGGGGCTTGTGTGCATGTACAACCTGCAGCAAAGAGAGAGACAAGCATTAACAGAGCTGTACCCGCACCTCCGTCGCACAACACGGGTGACACAAACCCGGGCGGGTCGCTTCTGGCAGGAGGGCCATCGGCTGCTGCCTGGGCAGCGCTGGCAGAGCAGGAATAAGCAACAAGGGCAGCATCCTTTGTCAGCACAGCAAAGGCTCGTGATACACAGTAATTACCGGAGGTATTTTTAGCTAATGTTTTCTTTTCTAAACTATGAATTAGTTCCTAGGCATTTGAAGCAAATACAGAACCTCTTCCAACTCACCTCAAAGAGGGCCCAACACCATTAGGATGATCAAAGCATCTCCTTGTCCGGGAGTTGGAAGAGTTCAAATACCCAAATTAATGTGTTAAGTGTTTTTTTTCCCCAATTCTGCAAAATATCTCCAATTAGCTCAGGACAGAACTCTGATTCGCTGCCACCTTTCGTATTTCTATCTGTGGAGCACCTCATTTACAGAAGTATTTAAATCACACACACGCTACGGTACATATACACATGTATACGCAGGAGGCACGTAAATCCACCACGCTGTTTCCAGCGTTAGTCTCGCGCAATGCGAGTGCCTTGAACACCGAATAGCCCGCACCGGGACGCAGTAACCACACCAAAACCCCAGAGCGCACGCTCTCTCGGGCACGCGCCAGATCAGACATCAGTATTCCTAAGTTTGCTGCTGCACTGAACACACATTTGAGGTTACTTTTCCCTAATAAGTTTTCTCTGCATTCATGATACTGAGCAGCGCGAACACCACACCTGCGAACGTCCCGGTGTCGAGACAAATGCTACAAACTTGTGTTTCATCTGCTGTGAATTAACGGACACGGGCTGCCGAGCTATTGCAGCCTTTGAAAGGGTCACAGCCTGCAACAGCCAAGGACGTGCTGGTCCAGGCGCAGAGGGCAAAGGACACGTTCAAGGCATGGAATAGGATTCACTGTTATTTTTGAGTCGGTGGCACTCGCGGCTCCCGCCAGCACAAAGGCCGCATTGTCCGCGCGGCCGTGCGCAGGAAGAACGGCCTGCTTCCCACGAGCGGCTTCGGCCAGAATAACGAATTAACTCCCCTCTCTGCGGGCTTTGGTGCCGGCAGGTTCGGGGCTCTCCAGCGCGCGGGGGCCACAGCACCCTCCCCTGTGCCCCTCCTGGGGGCGGGGGGCAGACGGATGTGCGGGAGATGGGCGCGATTACCGTCAAGATCTCCAACTTCACCGCACCGCGGAACAACTGAAAGAACAGCAGAGACAGCTCCCCCGTCACACGAATTTTTTTGCTGCTGGTGCCCTGAAACTCTGAGAAGGGAGAGACACAATAAACCCTTGCAGTCATGTTTTTAATTAGGTAAACCCGTATTGACTGACTTTACTGTAGAAAGGTCTTTAAAAATGTTTCTTTCAAACCACAGTAAAGAGAAATCTCATCTGATCTGATGACAGGGGACAAAATTCCTCATTCCTGACCATGCAAATAATCTCGTTAGAAAATCAAGCTCAAAGGCAATGAATTAAAGATTAGCAAAACTTGAAACGCAGCAGCTTTCCATCAAGCAACAGGTAAACAGGAATCCGTCCG